CCTCCCAAGTAGCTGGGACTACAGGCGCCTGCCACGACGCCCAGCTGTTTTTTGGTTGCAACCGTCGTCGTTTGGCGGGCCCAGGCTGGATTTGAACCCACTGGCTCAGGTGTATGTGGCTGGCACTTTAGCTGCTTGAGCCACAGGTGCTGAGCCTTATCTGACCTTTTAAAGTTTAACTTGTGGCCTTTGCACTTTGTTCACATCTTGACTTATCTACTCTGTTATAAGGCTTGGTTCCAAAAGTTCTGAAGTGATGGGAAGTGGGGCCAGGTGTTAGGAGAACCAAGAAAGTGGTTTATTTGGTTTCATTCTGCTTCTTAATAAGAGGTAAGCAAGAGGCACTCATGATAAAAGGAGGCTATTAGCCACTATGGAAGAAGATCCTGCCCAGGACAAAGGCTGAACCTAGAAGCCTTTGAACCTGAGCTGTGGATCAGGTGAAGATCCCATATCACAACCACATATTTAGTGGGTTTAAGGGAGTAGAGGGTATAGAAGGGTTGGCAGCCTATGAGCTGGCCTTGTGGAGAGTCTCTGACGATCATCATTGTGCCCACCTCTAGCATGAATCTCAGGTTGTTTGTTTTTCTTAATATTTGTTGGAAGTGGTAGTATAGTTAACTAATGAACACATTATCATAACTAACTTGGGATTCCAGGGGCACAAGATTGGGAGGAACTATAAACACCATCCAGCTCACACTCTCATCCAGTAATCCAGTCTCCTGCCCAGGACTCTTGCAAGAGGTCAGTTCTTACGTTGGAATGACTCCATCAGCATATCTTAAGTCATCTCATAGCCCAGCTTGGCACTCGTTTGGCTCTCATATTTCCTAAAAACACTTCTGGATCCTGAATATTTTCAAGGTGGTTCTCATCCATCCTAAAGGTGGTACTCAGAGCTGGACACAGTATTCCAGTGCAGTGTGGACAGCAGAATTTGGGGGGCAGGCCTTTCACCCAGCAGGGGCCCAGCTCATAGTGGCTTTTCGTTTCTTATTTGGTAAATGAATGAATTCCAGAAACCATGTTTTTATCAATTCTCTTGTAGACACACCATCATTCCTATTGAGCTTGCCCACAGAGACACTCAAAAATATAATGGCTGCTCACTGCAGGCAAGATGCCTTCTATTCACTGGCACATGTGACACACTCATGGCCCTGCATCTTCATACCTAGCACAGAGACTGCTCACTCTAAGCATTCAGTATTTTTTTTTTTTAAAAGCACTCAGTATTTATTGAGTGAGTAAGCCCTGAATTGAGGCAGGGGAAACTGAAAACCTATAGGGAGCATGCTGAGGTTTTAAGCCAGTAGGTCTCCTGAACCATTGCCCCATCTCTATCTGATGTCATCTCCCACTCAGTGCTGCTTTTCAGAACTCCCTCCTGCTTAGGTGCTTAAGCTAAACCTCACTCCACACAGCTTCCTGTTGACCTTAGACTGAAAGCTGGGGTCAGGGGTGTTGTTGGGACTCTAAAGCAGCATGTGATGCAAAATCAGGAGCCAAGAAGGCTGTAGTCTCTTCTGTCCCTCAGTGGGCTTGTAAAGGATGTCCTTGCCTACCCAGGCTTAGAAACAGATCATCTTTGCCTTCCTAGGCCTAGTGCATTTTTGTAGCCTTAGGGAGCCAGGGTTGCGAGGTACTTCGACTACCTAGTTCTTACCCCAACTTTAACCAAAGCAGCATGATTTATCTATTTGGATATCAGGGCTCTGCATAAAATTTCATTTAAAAGGAAGGTTTTGAAGCTATCAAAAATAACTTGAAAACCATTGTGTTATGTATAAAGGTGGACTTAGCAGATTAGTTAGGGGCCACTTGCAGCCCAGTAATGAGATCAGGTAACAATCAAGTTAAATTACAATTTCCTATAGAGTTCCACATTCCCTGCATTCCCTGGCATCTAAAGAGCATTCAGCTTCTTTTCTTTCTTTCTTTCTTTTTTTTTTGAGGCAGTCTTAACTTTGTCACCCTGGCTAGAGGGGTTCAAGCAATCCTCTTGCCTCAGTCTCCCAAACAGCTGGGACTACAGGCATGTGCCAGTAGGCCCTGCTAGTTTTTCTGTTTTTAGTAGAGATGGTGGGGGTCTCACTTTTGCTCAGGATACTCTCAAACTCCTGACCTCAAGCAGTCTGCCCACCTCCGCCTCCCAGAGTGTTAGAATTACAGGCATGAAGCCACCACACTCAGCCAAGATGTGAGGGGTCTCGTGAGATTCACCAATAGCCAAGTCTGTGTGTGTCACTCTGGACCTCTGGCCAGTCCTTTGATAGACACAGAATATTTCTTGTGCAAGCTATGACTTCCATTTTCTGTTAGAGGGCCAAGGCAGGGAAGAGCCTGGAACATAAGAAGGTCCAGGGGTGCATCTCCCAGTTACTGGGTAATGCTGTCCCAGATAAGGATCTGTTTTCTCTAGGCCACAGCAGCCTTGCAGTGAGAACACCCACTTGTTCATAATAGCTAGAAGGTGGCTGGGCCAGCATTTGAACAAGCCTCTAATTCATAGTGCCCTGCTGTAATTTCTTGTTACTAATAAGGTAAGAGTAGACTGTGTAATTGGGGTTGAGGGTGTCGTCTCTGTGGGCCCCCATCTTTTAGGTTCCAGTGCATGTTCCGGTTGTTGCCACGGTGCCTCAGCCCAGAGACACCCCTGCCTAGTGTGCTGCTGACTATTGAGTTCCTCTCCCTCCTGGCAGACCATGACAAGCTTGCTCCTCAGCTCTGTTCCCAATCGGGTAAAGTAGGGTGGGTGGGCGGCTGGGCTGCTTCTGCAGATTGGAGGGAAGGGCTGTGGCAGGGATGGAGCTTGGGGCCTCCCGAGGATTTCTGTGGCTAGTAGCCCAGACTCAAGGTGAGAAAGGAGACCCTAAGTGAGAAGAGGGACATCCTTTTCAGAAGGCTGCCTCCTGCTGTTGCTGTACATGTACATCACATCGCGGCCTGACAAAGTGGCCTCGGAGACACAGTGGCTTCAGCTGGAACAAGAGGTAAATCCTCCAGAGTCCGTTCTAGAGACTGCTTACCACCCCACCCATCCTAAAAACCCACAGAATCTCCTTTTCCTGGGGAGAAAGGAAGCTTTGATATCAAGTAGCTAGAGTGGTAAACCCAGTTTGGGGGCTCCACACTAAGATAAAATGCAGGAGGACCCCAGGTTATCATGGAACTTGGCAAAATTGCCTGGTAACTAATTCTATCCTGGTTTGGGGACCCGATGGCTGGAAGTGGGCCTGCAGGCAAGTGTGTTGAAGAGGCAGATGCTGGTAATGAGTCTGGCCTGGGAGGACCTCACTACCATTTCCTGGACCCCATTTGCACAGACAGGTAGTTGCTAAAGCAACTGAAGTCCTGTAGAAGGCTGAGAAAGTCTGTGTACTGGGTTCTTGTTCTACCTCAGGTGGAAAAGAAACTGTTCTTATTTTAGGCCGTGTGGCTCCTGGCTAAGCTCGGTGTGCAGAGCCCTTCCCCGCCCATAACTGGCTCCGACTGTCAGTGCAATGTGGAGGTGAGTGAGCAGGGGCCAACAGTGTGATAGCTCTGTTGGATAAGGTGGCCCTGTGCAAGGACCCCATGCCCAGTTCAACCCTCCTCACCTAGGCTGAGCAGGTTGTTAGAGCATAGGACACAAGACTAGGCCTAAGCCTGCTCCCTCTGTCTCCACCAGGTGGTCAGAGCTCTCACAGTAATGTTGCACAGACAGTGGCTAACAGTGCGGAGGGCAGGGGGGCCCCCAAAGACTGACCAACAGAAGCGGACAGTGCGGTGTCTGCGGGATACAGTGCTGCTGCTGCACAGCCTATCCCAGAAGGACAAGCTCTTTTCTGTGCACTGTGTGGAGGTCCTGCACCAGTATGACCAGGTGATGCCGGGGGTCAGCATGCTGATTCGAGGGCTTCCTGACGTGACAGATTGTGAAGGTGAGCTGGCAAGAGGGCCCCTCCCTGCCCCATGTGTGAGTTCTCTCTTATGTTTGAGGACAAGTCAGACTCCTTGTCATTACCCCAGCAGTGTTCTGTCCACCACAGCCTTTTCTGGCACTGAGGACATTTTCGTTGCCTTCCTACTGTGGTTCTTCTCTGAGCATATTGCTCATATCCGTTGAGTCGGCCTGGCAGAGTCACGGTTTTTCCAGAAATACCCGTGTCTGAATTGCCTTTGTATCACTTTGCTTACAGTAGCTGAGGGAGCAAGGCCTGGGCGTGGAAGGGACTGGTTAGTTCCTGTGGGCGTTGGGGGAGGAGTGGTGGGGCCTCCCCCAGTCCCTAGCACTTTTGGGCCTTCACCATAGGACCTTTTTCCTTTTGGCTCAGAGGCAGCCCTGGATGATCTCTGTGCTGCAGAGACCGATGTGGACGACCCTGAGATGGACTGTGGCTGAGGCTGACAAGCATCTGGCCACATGGTGGCACCAGCGTGGCTGCTTTTCTCATCTCATCTACTGATTAAAAGCAATGACCAATGACCGGCAGTTCCTGCCAACCTTGTAGTGTTTCCTGAATCTGATGTGTTTGGGAGCCCAGGGAGGGAGGCCGGGAGCCTTCTTCCTGTATATGGCTGCAATGAGACCTAGTCCCCATGGTAACTAACTAATCTGCCCTGAGGAAAGAGCCCTGCCCTGCCAGTGGAATTTTTCTGAGTCATGCCATTTTGGGCTGGGGCCATAGGAAGAAACCATTGTGTGGTGGGGAAGGAGGTGGCCCTTGGCCCAGGCCTAAACCTAGAAGGCTTAGGAAAGTGGGGGCAGCAGGTAGGCACCAGAGGGCCATGGCAGGAGCTCTCGGCAGTGCCTGAGACCTGGAGCTAACCTGGCACTGCAGCCCCAGTTCTTCCAGCTGACTCTCACTGGTATGAGGATCCCTGGGCTTTGTGGCAGCCAGCAGGCCTGTAGCTGTGAATCTCAGATGGCCTCTGGGGTGACTGGGAGGGACCAATGTTCCTGAAAGAGGAGCAGACCAGGCAGGCTGATAGAACAGGGCGGGCCTGGCTCACCCGGTCCTGTGGGCGGGTCCAGGCCTGAGTTTCAGTTTTGCTTCCCGCCACTGCTGCCAGCCACGGGAAGCAGACAGTGTGTGGAAGCAGTGTGTCGGAGTCAGGAGTCATTGCTGCTACGGTAAGTGGACCCCTAAAGGGATGGGCAGGAAGGCCATGGGTTCCCCCCACCTCAGACTGTGAGCACTAGGTGGGGAGCCAAGTCCTCGTAAAGAGGGACCCTTTTACATGTTCATCCCACTGAGGAAACCACCCCTACCCTCTCCCAACTTCCTGCTCTGAAAATGGTTCCTGGAGCTCAAATAGGCCAGATTGTACAGGGAAGGCCTAAGATGTGCTTCTGCCTACCTCCTTTCCCCCACCCTACCTACTTTAGATCTTTCCGCTGGGCACTCATGCCCACCCCAACCCATGCTCCTCCCCAGGCTCAGCGACAGCTACCTGCCCCACCATGGGCTCACAGGCCCCATCCCCAGAGCCCATGCAGACCTTCATCTTCTTGGACCTGGAGGCCACTGGCCTGCCCTTCTCTCAGCCCAAGGTCACGGAGCTGTGCCTATTGGCCATCCACAGATGTGCCCTGGAGAGCCCCCCCACCTCTCAAGGGCCACTTTCCATGGTGCCCCCACCACCCCGTGTGGTGGACAAGCTCTCCCTGTGCGTGGCTCCGGGGAAGACCTGCAGCCCTGCAGCCAGTGAGATCACAGGACTGAGCACAGCTGTACTGGCAGCACATGGGCGTCAACGCTTCAATGACAACCTGGTCAACCTGCTCCTAGCCTTCTTGCAGCGCCAGCCACAGCCCTGGTGTCTCGTGGCACACAACGGTGACCGCTATGACTTCCCCTTGCTCCAGGCAGAGCTAGCCATGCTGGGCCTTGCCAGTGCTCTGGATGGTGCCTTCTGCATAGATAGCATTGCTGCCCTAAAGGCCCTGGAACAAGCCAGTAACCCCTCAGAACATGGCCCAAGGAAGAGCTACAGCCTAGGCAGCATCTACACGCGCCTGTATGGGCAGGCCCCGCCAGACTCACACACAGCCGAGGGTGACGTCCTAGCCCTCCTCAGCATCTGTCAGTGGAAGCCACAGGCCCTACTGCAGTGGGTAGATGCTCACGCCAAGCCCTTCAGCACCGTCAAGCCCATGTATGGGGTCACAGCCTCTACCGGGACCAACCCAAGATCATCTGCTGTCGCAGTCGCTGCACCCCTGGCCACAGTCAGAAACACAAATCTCTGCACTGGTGAGAGCAGGAGACCTAAGGTTCTTTCTCCAGTGGAGGGCCCTGAAGCCCCACCCAAAGAGGGGTTGCTTGCCCCACTGGGTCTTCTGGCCTTCCTGACCTTGGCAGTAGCCATGCTGTATGGACTATCCCTGGCCACACCTGGGCAGTAGGTCAAGAATGAAAATCTGACTAATAAAGACTCCCCTAGCACTGAGTAGTCACTCTGCTCCTACCCTCCTTGGCAGCCTGGGCCTATGTCCACACTCAGGACCTGAGGAGGGAGGCAGAGGTGGGCACAGTCTTTGTCCTTCACTCTCCCTAGCAGAACTGTCAAAACATCTTAGCTCCTTAGCAGGACAGTGAAAACATCCTAGTGCAACAGAAACCCAAATAGTGAGTGGGTACACAGCCTAGTGCCTAATCTCAGTAGGTATGAAGAAAGGGGCAGGAGATCTAAATATCTGCATTTATTATAAACAAAGTTGCAGACACTAAACTCAGAAACAGTGACAAATACAAAGCTAAGATAGATCTGGTCAGACATCAACAGAGGGACAAGGAACACGGAGGTATTCATGTCTGGGCCAGAGCTGCCACCAAACACCCCCTCCTTGATCCAGATGGCCCCTTGGCCCAGGTGTTCCTGCTGCCAGGACAAACTGTGGGGTGGAGTAGAGGAACTGGATATTCTGTACACTGGTATTGAGATACCAGGGACTATCAGAGCTGTCAAGTTGGCCCTCTGTCAATTTCCCTCCAGGACCTGGGGGTTTCAGTTTCACATCAACTCTCACACACATCTGAAAACAGAAAACCACACAAAATGTTTGGCTAAAAGTAAAAACAAACACTCCAGGAAAGAGACCTGAGTGTGTCAGTGGACCGAGGCCACCCTGCCCACCTGTGTCAGGGGCTGGCACCAGCAAGGGCAAAAAACTCCCTGTGGCAGCCAGGCCATGAGTGGATGTGGCCCTCCAAGTGGTCCCAGGGAAGAAGCAGGGGCAATCCAGGCAGGCACCTGTCGGGGGCAGGGGGTCCTCTGCCTGAGGTGTTTTGGCATCAGGAGGCCACCCAACTCCCACTGCATGGCATCAGCTCCAAGGAGCAGTGAAACATCTATCCAACGGCCTAAAACCCAGCTTGGCCAGATCTCAAGCTTACCTATTTCCCTACATTGTGGCCCTGGCTCTGCAAAGGGCCCCCCAAACCCTGGGGACAAGCCACAGCCTCAATCAGTGGCTGCCCATCTTGCTGAAACACATCTACACCATACCCACATAATGCTACTCTCTCCTAGTACGACAGGCCACACCAGTCACCCTAGGGTGAGCTGGAAAAGAACTCCCACCCCATCCTTTGAATTTTGCTCAGATTTCAGAAAGCATAATTTCACAGGAGGAAGAGAACAAAGTTTGCCCCCAGCCCACTCTGGCAAGAATTATTCCCCACCTCATCAGCATCAGAAGAAGCCACATGTACAGACAGAACACACACACCACACGCAAGGTAGTAAGGAACCATGCCTGCATACCACCCACACAAACAGCATAATCAAGTGGCAGCCAGAGAGGTAGGGGCACACTCAGGGGGCTGCCTTCGGGGGCTCCATGTAGGCTGGGTTGTACGGAGGCTGGCTGGCAGGGTAGGGCACGGCTGCACCTCCTGAAAACAGAGAAGACACTGGTTGACAAAGGGCACAGTGGGGTGTGGTGTGAGTGGCAGGCAAGCAGAAGGGGGCAGAGGCCTATTCAGCCATGTACTCTGGAATGGGTGTCTGGGGGTGTGCAGGCAGAAGCTTGGGAGGCCAGAAAGGGTCAGAGTCAGTAGTGACACTCACCAGCCAAGGTCTCATGGTAAGCCGGTGGGCCCATGGGCTGGGCCGGGTAGGGTGGTGGGTACTGCGTCGGGTAAGGTGCAGCTGGCATCCCTGGCTGGGGGGGCATGGGGTGGTAGCCCTGATACGTTGGTCCAGGGTAGCTGGGTGGCACACTTGGAGGCTGAGGGTAAGGGGCATGTACCACCGTGGTGGCCGTGGTAGTGGTCACAACCGCTGCAAAGAGAATCCCAGTCAGGACCCTTTATCTCCCTAGGCCGTGAGAGCCAGGCTTGCCACTCCTCCCTTCAGCTTAGCCAAAGCAGGGCTCTGGCACTGCCCTTGCCCACCCAGGGATCTCCACCACACACAAGGGGAGTCACAGTAGGGCAGGGTGGGGCTGAGCATGCTTACGACGTGGCCGGCGACACATCTTGTATAAACAGCAACAGGAGCAGGTGAAGCAGATGATGATGGTGACAACAGAGAGCACAAAGATGGTCAGGCCAATGGCTACAGTAGCTCCAAACCTGCCAAAAAGCCAGTCATGATCCAGGGCCTCTCACAGCCTCCCAGGACCAGCATCCCCACTTCACCCACTCCCAGGGGACACCCCCCTTGCCAGAAGAGACTGCACAATGCAGATATGGCAACTCCCTGGTAGTGTAGTTTGAACTTGTTTCAGCCTCAGTTTCCTCATGTGTAAAATGGGGGTGTCTGTAAGTCTATGTAAAGCACCTCACCCTGAGTCTGCCTTCACCTTGCCCTCAGGAGCATAGGAGGGCATTCCTCAAGTCCTTTCCCCCATAGGTACTTCGTCCACCCCAGCCACCCCATGGTATCGCGCACATGAAGCCAGGCATTGTGTGATTTAAGGCAAAAACTCAGTGGTGGGCAAGACAATCAACCCTGGCCCCTGGGAGCCCATAGTCCAGTATAAGAGGCAGATGTTGAAGATAAAATGACTCTAGAAAACCTCTAGCACAGGTTGGGCGGAGAGGGGGGGAATGGGTAGAAGCTCCAGGAGGACGAAAGCTGGTGTAGCTAGAATAGCAGGGAAAGGCTTACAGCATTTCTCTGACTCCCACCATAGCCCAGGCAGGGCTTCTGGCTCCCTATAGTAACAGGGGCCTCTCACTGCAAGTGTGCCTTCTATCAAGCACTGTGCCTGATGTTTACACATATCCCTACGCTCCCCAACTCTGACCAGCATGGCCACTTCAGCCAGAGGGCGACTCAGAGGGACTGAAGGCAAGAGGTTTCCCTGCCTGACCCTGGCCTTGGAATGGAGGGCCTTGCCTTGGAAGTTTTCCAAATCTGACTTCCAAAGGCAGACAGACAGACCCCTTACTCTTCTCTAATGCTCTTAGAGGCCAAGCTTTACTCTAATAAAAGGTAACTGCTTGGTAACTGCACCAGACACATTCAAAAATTGAAGGAGCTTTGTTAGCTGTTACGGCACCTGTGCCCTCAGAAGACCAGGGAGGGTGTTGGTCCCTCCCTGGGTCCAGGGGATTTCACCTCACAGCCCAGAAGGATGGTGTAACCTCAACAAGGCCCCACCCACACAATCCTGGACAGATGGAATAGGCCCTTTGCATCCCAGGTTCAAGTCTCAAAAGCACCAGGCAGCTCCTATGCAGTCAAAGACAATGCCCCCAAGACAGGACCATCAAATCATAGGTGTCTTCCTGCCCAACCAAGAGCAGGAAGAGAAACACACACACACACACACACACACACACACACACTAACACACAATGACTCTGCGATAGGGCCCTCATCATCTCCAGAGAGCTCACTCTCCATTTCTCTCTATCTCTCACACACGGTATGGCACCCATGCTCACCCCATGTTAGCCTGCGCCTTCACCCAGGGGCTTCCTGCACCCTGGGACTTCCCCTCTTACCATCGTGGGCCACTCAGTTTCAATCTCCTCCCCTTTCAAGGGGCAAAAGTAAAGCAAATCTCTTCCAGATGACGTCAGCAGCAGGAAAGACAGACACGGAGGCCCGAAGCCACCCTCTTAAAGACACAGTATGGCCCAGGCACCGCAGCTGTGCTAGCAGCCAAGGAGCCAAAAGGGGAGGAGCAGAAGCCAGGCGTCCTGGCTGCCTTCCCAAAGCCGCCTTCTGGGAGCCGTGCCTGTAAGAGTCCGGCCTCCAAATGTAGCCGTCTGTCTGCCCACTGCCCAGGATGGCACACTGGGGGATCTAAGAGACATAGAGCCTCTGTTTGCCTTAATATTCCCGACCCCCACTAGCCCTGTTCTAGCCATCCCCCTGGATGGGCACCTTCCTCCACCAAGGCCCTGGAGCACAGCCCTGGGGCCCCGGCTGACACACAATCAGCAAAGTCCAGCCTGAACCCTCTGCCCTTCCTTTCCCACCAGCGCACTCCCCAAGTCACTAATCTGCCTCCTTATGTTCCCCTGGCCATCCAACCAGGGCCACTTCCCCATCATAGCTCCTGTAGCTCTTGGGATCACAAAGGAATTCACTTTGCAATTACTTGGCTAAACTGTGTTTGAGTGTACTTTCCTGTATGTATGTTATAGTAGATAATAAAAGAAGAAAAGAAAAATCTGGCTTGGCGCCTGTGGCTCAAGTGGCTAAGGCGCCAGCCATGTACACCCAAGGTGGCGGGTTCGAAT